ATATATATATATATATATATATATATATATATATATATATATATATATATATACCTTTGCCAGAGACAAAGAATGCGAAAGTGGTAATGTTGCTCTTGCAGCGTGAGGCTTCACATTAGCAAATGGTGTCTCTGCAGCTGCAATCGTTGACAAATCTAGAACATCCATATAAAAATGTGTTAGTGAAAAAGTACTTTTCTGTTTATAATTTGAATACGAAACAAAGAGCAGCAACGAAGATTATGAATACGTAGGTTTACCATTCTTAACTTAGTTTTGTGATCTGTAGTAGCGCTCAGTATACTCCATTTTAAGCAGTACACAGAATCGTCACCATAATTTTTCCAAAACTGATAGTGGCAGTAGGCTTTGAAGTACAATGATTTTCTGAGAAGTGGTTGTAAATTCAATTGAAAATATCATGAAGAAAAATAAAAGAATATCAGCCCTCACTATTTTGAAGTTCGACATGCCGAATAACATCATCCTTTAGAATACGTCCACTAAAACCTGTTCCAGTGATTTCATTCAGATTCACCTTAAATATTCAGTGGTAATTGTAAAAAAAAAATGATGCTGTTTCTTATCAACGACTGTTGCATTTTTTTTCCTAACAATCTTAATCCCATAAAACACGGCGCTGCTCTGGAAGAAACCCAAAAACCTTGATCTGGAGTGAAAAAGGTAATAATACTGAATCCAGTTTAAACACGCAGTAAACTTTATTGACAAACTAGATTATCTAAAATTGTTCTATTCTTCTCCCTTTTCCCTTTATGCCTCTTTTACAGAAATTCTTAAGACAGTGAAAAATTTCCATGAATCCAAACCAAACACAACGATAAGAAACAGTTGCAAATAAAAAAAAAAAGTACCCCCTTTTCCCTAGCAAGTTGTCGAACTGCCGGGGTAACAAGAATTTTTCTAGTTTCCTGATCGTCCTCTGAAGTGGTCATTTCTCTCTCCATTTTTCCATTAAACCTTTCTTCTTGTGTTTCTTAATACAAAGAAATTAAGTAATAAGAGTAGCATCTTTTAACAAACAACAAACAGCAACTACATTTTTGACCACTTGCTTAAGCTTGTAACGTAAGAAATTAATTCGGCGAATGATGTCACAATTGCAGTAGCCCTTATGCACAGAAAAAGTTATCAAAATGGGACACGTTATGTATGTCATCTTACAAACCTCGAATCGCTATCAGTTGAGTCGACAGAACAGTTCCGGACATACACAATTTTCTGTGACTCAAGAGGCCAACAATCAATTTGATATTGGCATCAATCTGACTTTGGCTAGCATAGGAAAATACAAAAATGATTTCTTATCCCTCCCAGCTCCGCTGAATGCAACTTGGTGAACAGTTGAGTTACGGAAATCCTTATGAAAAAAGAAATAAAACACCATTACCGATGTCTGCAACTTCGATGTCCACAAGGGTTGTACCCACCTTTGCTACATCATCAACATTATAATACCTAGAACAAATTGTTTTGAGCTCTAAATTGTTTAATATGGGGGAAGTCAATCATTACGTCTCCAATTCCGAAAGATAGTTATTCAAACCAAACACTAATCAAAACTTCAGGAAGGTTGTTATAGTAGCGGTTTT